CATTGGCGTTTGATTGAGAGGCCCCTTCTGGGCTCACATGGCCCTTGTGCATGGTCCTGTCTTCCTGGACTGTCATCACTGATACACTAGCCTGTCAGGTCCCCAGGGTCAGGCACAACTTCCTCATCTTTGTAGCTGCAGCACCTGGCATGCGGTAGGAACTCAACAGATGGTGTTTATTTGTTTGTTTTGAGACAGAGTTTCCTTCTGTCACCCAGGCTGGGGTGCAGCATTGTGATCATGGCTCACTGCAACCTCTGCCTCCCTGGTTCAAGCAATCCTCCTGCCTGAGCCTCCAAAGTAGCTGGGATTCAGGCCCACGCCACCATACCTGGCTAAATTTTTTTTTTTTTTTTTTTTTTTGCGGTGGAGTCTTGTTCTCCATCCAGGCTGGGTGCAATGGCACGCAGCCTCACCAAAATCAAATGATTCTCCTGCCTTAGTTTCCTGAGTAGCTGGGGTTATAGGTGTGCGGCACCATACCCGGTTAGTTTTGGTATTTTTAGTAGAGACAGGGCTTCACCATGTTGGTTATGCTGGTCTTGAACTCCTGACCTCATGATCTGCCTGCCTCGGCCTCCCAAAGTACTGGGATTACAGGCATGAGCCACCGTGCCTGGCCAAGTTTTCTTTCTTTCTTTCTTTTTTTTTTTTTTTTCCCAGATGAAGTTTCACTCTTGTTGCCCAGGCTGGAGTGCAGTGGTGCGATCTTGGCTCACTGTAACCTCCAACTCCTGGTTTCAAGTGATTCTTCTGCCTCAGCCTCCCAAGTAGCTGGCATTACAGGCACCCACCACCATACCAGGCTAATTTTATATTTTTAGTAGAGACAGGGTTTTTCCATGTTGGTCAGGCTGGTTTTGAACTCCTGACTTCAGGTGATCTACCCCCCTCAACCTCCCAAAGTGCTGGGAATACAGGCCAGACACCACACCTGGCCCCACCCGGCTAATTTTTGTATTTTTAGTAGAGACAGAGTTTCACCATGTTGGCCAGGCTGCTCTCGAACTCCTGAGCTCAAGGCCCATCTTGACCTCCCAAAATACTAGGATTACAGGCTTGAGCCACCACGCTCGGCCAACAGATGCTTGTTGAATGAAGGCATGGGCTTGTGGTGGCTTCCATTTGGCAGCTTGGAGACCTTGTTCTACTTTCCCTTTGCCTTTCTAGTTTGGGGCAGCTGTTCCTTGGTGGTGAGAGAGGTTGATGACAGCGGAGTCTCGGAGAGCTAAGGCGAAACTGTTTCTAGCAGTTTGAACTCCCCTGAGTCCAATGGGGGAGGCAGTCCCTCCTTCTTAAATAAGCTCCCAGGGTTGCCTCTGGCTTTGATGCCCCTCACTCTGTAGGAGACCTTAGTCTCAGGATTGCGCTTGACGCCTCTATTTATGAGCCCAACTCAGAAAAGGGTGGGGCGTCACTCCCCCTTGGCTGGGTACCCCGAGGGTACCCTTGGCTTTCTCTGCTGCTCCAGGCCTCAGCTCCGCAGGGCAGGAAGAAGCTAGTGGTGGACAGGCTGTGTGGGCCTGTAATCACCCAAGGGGTTTACCTTGCATGCTGCCTAGACAGAGCCGATTTGTCAAGACAGGGAAATTGCAATAGAGAAACAGTAATTCACACATAGCCCGCTGCGTGGAAGACCAGAGTTTTATTATTACTCAAATTAGTCTCTCTGAGCATTCGGAGAGCAGAGTTTTTTTGGTTTTTGTTTTTCTCTTTTTTTTTTTTTTATGAGACAGAGTCTCACTCTTTTGCCAGGCTGGAGTGCAGTGGTATGATCTCGGCTCACTGCAACTCTGCCTCCTGGGTTCAAGCAATTCTCTTGCCTCAGCCTCCTAAGTAGCTGGGACTACAGGTGCATGCCACCACGCCCAGCTAATTTTTGTATTTTTTTAGTAGAGACGGGCTTCACCATGTTGGCCAGGATGGTCTCAATCTCTTGACCTTGTGATCTGCCCACCTCGGCCTCCCAAAATGCTGGGATTACAGGCGTGAGCCACCACACCTGGCCTGTTTTTTGTTTATCGTTTAAGATGGAGTCTTGCTCTGTCACCAGGCTGGAGTGCAGTGGCACGATCTCGACTCACTGCAAACTCCAACTCCTGCCTCAGCCTCCCGAGTAGCTGGGATTATAGGTGCCCGCCACCACACCCGGCTAACTTTTGTATTTTTGGTAGAGATGTGGTTTCACCATGTTGACCAGGCTAGTCTTGAACTCCTGACCTCATGATCTGCCTGCCTCAGCCTCCCAAAGTGCTGGGATTACAGGTGCGAGCTACCGAGCCAGGCTGGGAGCAGAGTTTTTAAATAACTTAGTGGGTTGGGGGAAACCAGTGAACCAGGAGTGCTGATTGGTCAGAGATGAAATCATAGGGAGTCGAGGCTACTTCTTGTGTTCAGTCAGTTCCGGTGGGGGCCATAAGATCAGATGAGCCAGTTAATCAATCTGGGTGGGGCCAGCTGATCCATCAAGTGCAGGGTCTGCAAAATATCTCAAGCCCTGATCTTAGGAGCAGTTTAGAGAGGATAAGAAGCTTGTAGCCTCCAGCTGCACAACTTCTAAGCCATAATTTCTAATCTTGTGGCTAATCTACAAAGGCAGTCTAGTCCCCCAGGCAAGAAGGAGGTCTGCTTTGGGAAAGGGCTGTCACCATCTTTGTTTAAACTGTAAACTATAAACAAAGATTTTCCCAAAGGTAGTTCAGCCTGTGCCCAGGAATGAACGAGGACAGCTTGGAGGTTACAAGCAAGATGGAGTCAGTTAAGTTAAATCTCTTACACTGTCTCAGTCATAATTTTGCAAAGGCAATTTTAGGCCTCTCTCTCCTCCTATCACAGCCCATGGCTCCCTGATGCTGCTTGTGGTGACAAGCTGGGACCTGGGTCCAGGCCGCGGGGATTCTTGCCTCAGGCCTGGCCCGGCAGGAGGCTGGGTTGTCTTGGTTCCTGAGTCAGGCTCCAGCACTTCCGTGTGGGAGAGTTTGGGACTGATGTGGTGTGTCTCCCAGAATAGCGTGCTTTTTCTCTCCCTCTGTCCCAGGCAGAAGGGCCAAAGCAGGCAACATCACTGAGGCCATCCAGCTGCCTCACTAGGCTTCAGTGGTTTCTCAGAACCCAGGGTCCTATGATCCCTGGTCCATGGCAGAGGTGAGGATGGGAGTGAGGCCAGTTATACCACCCCTCCTGCTTGCCCAGTGGACAAGCACTAGCCTGAGGTCAGGATGCTCAGGGAGGAGCCCAGGGGTTGTGCGCACTTGTTCCAGTCAGGAGCCTCTCTGAGTGTGTCGGCATAGCCCTGGCCAGTCTAGCAGATGGACTCTGGTGGCAGGGGCTGGGAGGCAGAAGGGGAGAGAGGAAGTTGGCCTCCAGCCCAGCGGGAGCAACCAAAGGGATGGTGGAAGGGCTGGGGACAAGCTCAGCACCCGTCCTCCTCACTACCAGGTCACACGTGCCCAGGAAAAATTAGCAATAGGAGATCGAAGCAGTGATAAAAGTGACTTTATTGAGTTGTCCAGGGACGTCCTGGGGTCTCCTCACTTCCCCCAGCTCTCCAGTCACCATCCCCAGCTCAGTAATAGAAACCACCTTCCTCCCATGAGAAGGAGCTCAGGAAACTCATCGGTGTTTAAAAGAGGGGATGGAGAGAGATAGGGATTCTCTGGGAGTGGGAGATCCCAAGCAGAGGGACAGGAAGAGGAGGAGCCTGGGGGCAAGAGAAGCAAGAAGCGAGGGGAGGCTCTCAGCAGCGGCAGAGGGAGAAGAGAGGGGAGCCCACAGTGTCCTTTTAAATCTGGCCACAGCCTGGCTTTTGTCTTCACCTCCAGCTTGTTCCCACCCACCCTCCCCTTTCCCCTCATTGCGCCTTCTCTTCCTGCCCTAGGGTGAGCCTTGCTGCTGTGCAGACATCCTGAGTCATTGTAAATCTTCCTTTCTTTCTCCACACCTTTCATCTAGGGTCTGTCTCTCCTCTCTCTTTTCTGTCCAAAGCTCTCCCTATTTTTTTTTTTTTTTTTTTGAGACCGGGTCTCGCGCTCTGTGGCCTAGGCTGGAGCACAGTGGCACAATCTTGGCTCACTGCAGCCTCCACCTCCCGGGTTCAAACGATTCTCCTGTCTCCGCCTCATGAGTAGCTGGGATTACAGGTGCACGCTACCATGCCCTGCGAATTTTTTGTATTTTTAGTAGAAACGGGGTTTCACGATGTTGGCCAGGCTGGTGTCGAACTCCTGACCTTAGGTGATCCACTCACTTTGGCCTGCCAAAGTGCTGGGATTACAGGCACGAGCCACTGTGCTCGGCTTCCCCATTCTTTAAGAATCAGTTCAGCACTTTGGAAGGCTGAGGCAGGCAGATCACGAGGTCAAGAAATCGAGACCAGCCTGGCCAACAGGGTGAAACCTGTCTCTACTAAAAAATACAAAAATTAGCCAGGCGTGGTGGCGTGCACCTGTAGTCCCAGCTACTCGGGAGGCTGAGGCAGGAGAATCGCTTGAACCCAGGAGGCGGAGGTTGCAGTGAGCCGAGATCGTGCCACTGCATGCCAGCCTGGCGACAGAGCGAGACTGTCTCAAAAAGAAAAAGGCCAGGCGTGTGGCTCACGCCTGTAATCCCAGTACTATGGGAGGCTGAGGTGGGTGGATCACGAGGTCACGAGATGGAGACCATCCTGGCCAACATGGTGAAACTCCCCTCTCTACTAAAAATACAAAAAAATTAGCCGGGCATGGTGGTGCACGCTTGTAGTCCCAGCTACTTGGGAGGCTGAGGCAGAAGAATCACTTAACTGGGAGGCAGAGGTTGCAGTGAGCCAAGATTGTGCCACTGCACTCCAGCAGCATGGTGACAGAGCCAGACTCCATCTCAAAGACAAAACAAAAGTAGAATCAGTTTAAACATCCTACAGTGAAGGCTTTGAGATCACCCTGGGCCAGGTGCAGGCTTCTCCTCAACCTGCTCCCCCCAGCCCCTCCTCCCCTGCTCCCACCCCACCTGCGGTCATTCTCTGTTCTGGATTTTCTGAGTTGAGCACAAACCAGGCACACAGTAGGCACTAAAAAGTTCCAGGCACCAAAGATGGTGTTGGGTAAGATGACAGAGAGCGAGGGAGCGAGCGAGTAGGTATAGGGGGAATAAAGGAGAAAAGGGTGGGACGCACTGGGGGCAGAGGAGGCAGAGGAGGTCAGAGGAAAGGACACGGCATAGGGGCAGGAGTGTGGGGTGTGGCTGGAGAGCTCCCCGGGTCTTCAGACCATTGTGCTGTGCGTGGAGGAGCCCTCGGAACGCAGGGGCAGCACTGGGGCCCGCTTGAGGGAGCGCCGGGTCTCATCTCGGTTCTGCCACACATAATGCACCAGGTAAGCCACTGCGAGTGTCAGCCAGCCCCCCCATGGTGACCAGCAGGACCACATCAGTGCTCCTTCGGGCCCCGCCCCGCCCTGCCCCACACAGCTCTTTCTCCCCTGCCAGCAGCAGGAACTCCTGCCCCACAAAGTCTGGTCGGGCTCCGGGGCCACACACGATGCCTGTCCCAGTGCCTGGTGCCAGCCTCACCTGCCTGAGCACTTCCTGGAGGGCGCAGTCACAGTGCCATGGGTTGGCAGATAGGTTCACTTGGATCTGTAGTCCCATAAAGGCCTCCACGGGCACCGAGGCCAGCTGGTTGGCAGAGAGGTCAAGGTGGCGCAGTGTGCCCTCCAGGCCCTGAAAAGCCGCCCCCGAGAGGTGGGCAAGGGCATTATGGGACAGATCCAGCTCCTCCAGGACAGCCAGGTGTTGGAAGGCACCAGCAGGCACCGATGCCAGCTGGTTGGCATCCAGGTAGAGCTTGCGGGTGTCGTTGGGGATGCCGGAGGGCACAGCGCTCAGGCCTGCCTGGCTGCATCGGAACGTCCGTTCACCTGCTTCCTTTGCCACATAGCAGCCCCGGGGAGGCACCCGGGGACTGGGCACAGTACCCCCTGTGCCTATCACCAGCAGGAGGGACAAGAGGTGACCTGCTGGTGGGAGCATGGCCACAAGTTGGCATAGTCCTGGAGTGGAGTAGGATCTGGGGAGGAAAGGTCACATAAAGGAAGAGTGAGTAAACAGAATCGCATGCCCACTGCCAGCTCTCTCCTCCTGAGGTCCCTCTGGGGCGTCCCTTTGGGCCGGGGCCTCCTCTCAAGGCTGGGTGACTTGTTCACTTCCTTCTTGGGGTATCTTGATTTAAGGCTCCTCAATAGGGCCTTTTGGGCAAAGGGTCTCTTGTGCTTCAAACTCTTTTAGGGTCTATTGATTCTAGAAGGTTAATCTATGAGGCCCTGTTGGTCATTCTGGGTCCAGGGGTTTCTAAGTTTCTGCCTCTGTCTATGTATTAATCTCTCTCATTGGAATAAAGTCTTTTCCCCTACCTACCTGGGTGGCTGCCAGGTGGGCTAGGTAGGCACCAGAGGGTCTGGTTGGCACTCGTGTGATGGAGACAAGTGGGACAGATGAGTGATAGGGTGCCAGGGCATCCAGCTAGGCCGGGTGACTAGGTAAAATGGACTTCTGGCCCACCTTATATGCCCATCAACCCCTCTTCTGGGAGCACCCACCTGTCTGCCTGCCCAGCTCTGTCCTCTCTGCCCTGCACGGCCTCCCTCCTCCTCCCTCTCCTCCTCCCTTCCTCTCACCCCTCTTGGTGGTAGAGCCTTCTCCAGTGCAGCTGCCCTCTCCCGGCTCCCCGCTGCTAGGCTCTGGAGACCCGCTTCCTCCTCCTGTTTGCTCACAGCTGCTGGAAGTTGGGGGCTGGGACTTAAGAGTGTTGGGTTTCCTGGCATGTGACTCCGGGCCCAGGTGTCGGATACCTGAGCCATGGTGTGGCCAGGCAATGCCAAGAGAGGGCAGATCCTGGACCCTGATGAACTTTGCCATGGGGATACCAGGCCCCAGTTCCATTCCCTGCCCCAGGCTCCCCTCCCCAGCCTTGATACTGCCATCTTTCCTCAGCCTTCGAGGCTAAAACTCTGCTTCCAAGAACCCCTCTTTCTTGCCCAGAACTTGGCTGGGCAGAAGGATCCCTGCTTGGCAGGCCTGGGGGGCAGAACCGAACTGGGTGGGCCCCATCTCACATCCACTGTCTCCAGCAACCTGTACACCCCCAACTCCATCCTCCCCTGCCACCATCTGCTGCCCTTCTTGTTTTGTTGTTGTTGTTTTGTTTTTGTATTTTTGTAGGGACGGGGTTTCTCCATGTTGGTTAGGCTGGTCTTGAACTCTTGACCTCAGGTAATCTGCCTGCCTCGGCCTCCCAAAGTGTTGGGATTGCAGGTGTGAGCCACCATACCCGGCTGCTTCTGCCCTTCCTTCACGCTCTGTGGCACTTTCTTCCATGGTGAGCAAACTTCCCTTAGCCTTTCCTTGGAAAACATGTCTGTCCGGGGCCACATCTCCTGGCTCCTCACAGTGCCCAGCCGTCTTGCCTGCCAGGGGTGCTGTGGTTCACCTTTAGTTTGTTCTCTGCGTGGTGGATTGATGGCCTCTCTAGGAGTCGGAAGGAATTCTTTAAGGCACCTGAAGCCTGATGTGGTCGTCTCTGAGTTTTCCTGCTGATTTTATGATCTGGATGAGAACCAACTCAGGTTCTCTCTGCTGGAGCCCTGGACTCTCAGGGTGGCACTTTGAACCCTCCTTCAGGCCTGGGCACCAAAGAGGGCTTGGATGACTTGTTCCCCAGGGTGTCCCGGCCCCAAGCATCATTTGCAGGCCACGACACTCTGTGATACCAACCTCTCCTAATGTTCACTGGGGAGTGGAAAGGAAGGATTTCAAGGCAGAGGATGAGATTCATGTGTGACCTGAGCATGTGACCTGACGCTGCTGGTTGGGAAGAGCCACCAGGGCTGAGCGGATGTGAAGGCACTTTGTGAAGTACTGTGCAGTGGCGAGTTGGCAGGATTACTGTCTTCCAGAACACATCGGGTCTTCCTCCATGATTTCAGTACCACGCCAGGCTTTTCCCACCACCTCCTCTGGTATGCTGTGCAGGGGCAGGGGTGACAAGGGGTCATAGATGGGATCCATGTGAATGACCCATCTCATTCCTTAGCCCATGGTGGCTTCTCCCCTGAACTCCCTTGACATTCAAGTCCAACCACGTGGTGCCTCCTGTGGCACCATCCTACCCACACTATCTCCAGTTTGGTGCTGGGATTCAGAGCTTCAGTGATTGATAGAGCTCAAAGGAAGGGGCCAGCCAGTTGACCCCTCTTTAGTTTTCAGATGGGTAAACTGAGGCCGAGAGTGTGACCAGAGTTACACAGTGAGTCAGTGGTCAAAGACCAGAGCCCTGTTTTCTGACTTCGTGTCCGGCTGCTTTCCATTGCCTGCTAGCACCTCTGGTCTCTGTGCCACACTTACCCATACCCTACATCCTTGCATGTTGAGCCTGATGGTGCCCACGGTATTGTGTGGCACCCAGAAGCCCTCCTGCCAGGTCAGAGAGGTGGAAGAGTGGGGTGTCACAGAGACCAGACAGGATATACTTACACGAAGGAAGATGAGGTCATATGCAGTGGAGACCTTGCTGAGGACAGCCTTGCTGGCTTTTGCAAGACTGTGGTGACCAGGACGGGACACGGAATTGCAGAGCTCAGTGCAAAATAAAAATGGTGGGGAGGGGCCCCTTGTTTCAAAAACCTGTTAAGAGTTTCTTTAAAAAAAAAAAAAATATATATATATACATATGTATATATATATATATATATGTATATATATATTTTTAAAGACAGGGTTTCACCATGTTGGTCAGGCTGGTCTTGAACTCCCGACCTCAAGTGATCTGTCCGCCTTAGCCTCCAAAGTGCTTGGATTACAGGTGTGAGCCACCACACCTGGCCAAATTTTTTTTTTTTTTTTTGAGATGGAGCCTCCCTCTGTCACCCAGTCTGGAGTGCAATGGTGTGATCTCGGCTCACTGCAACCTCCACCATCTCTGGGTTCAAGCGATTCTCCTCCCTCAGCCTCTGGAGTAGCTGGGATTACAGGCGCCTGCCACCACGCCTGGCTTATTTTTGTATTTTTAGTAGAGACAGGGTTTCACCGTGTTGGCCAGGCTGGTCTTAAACTCCTGACCTCAGGTGATCTGCCCGCCTTGGCCTCCCAAAGTGCTGGGATTACAGGCATGAGCCACCGTGCTCAGCTCTTTTTTTTTTGGCAGGGGGATGGAGTCTCACTCTGTGGCCCAGGCTGGAGTGCAGTGGCGCAACCTCAGCTCACTGCAACCTCTGTCTCCCAAGTTCAAGTGATTCTCCAGCCTCAGCCTCCTGAAAAGCTGGGATTACAGGCACCCACCACCATGTCTGGCTAATTTTTATATTTTTAGTAGAGACAGGGTTTCACCATATTGGCCAGGCTGGTCTCTAACTCCTGATCTCAACAGAGTCTCAACAAGGTGTCACTCTGTTGCACACGCCAGTCTCAAACTTATGAGGCTGCTTGGTCCCTGGCCTCCCAAAGTCCTGAGATTATAGGCATGAGCCATGCACCCAGCCTTAAATTCTGTAGTGGCTCATGCAGTGAGGACTATGCCCTGCTGAAACGGTTAAGAATGTCAAGGCCTTGCTGGGTACGGTGGCTCATGCCTGTAATCCTAGCACTTTGGGATGCCGAGGCGGGTAGATCACTTGAGACCAGGAGTTCTAGACCAGCCTTACCAACATGGCGAAACACCATCTCTACTAAAAATGCAAAAAATTAACTGGGCCATGGTGGTACATGCCTGTAATCCCAGCTATTTTGGAAGGCTAAGGCATGAGAATCACTTGAATCCAGGAGGCAGAAGTTTCACTGAGCCGAGGTTGCACCACTTCACTCCAGCCTAGGTGACGCATCAAGACCCTGTCTCAAAAAAAAAAAAAAAAAGAATTTCAAGACTGGGTGCATGGCTCATGCCTGTAATTGCAGCACTTTCAGAGGCTAAGAACCAAGGAGCCTCATGAGTTTGAGACTGGCCTGTGCAACATAGTGAGACCTCATCTCTACTAAAAACCAAACAAATAGGCCGGGCGCGGTGGCTCACGCCTGTAATCCCAGAAGTTTGGGAGGCCGAGGTGGGTGGATCACGAGGTCAAGAGATCGAGACCATCCTGGTCAACATGGTGAAAACCCGTCTCTACTTAAATACAAAAATTAGCCAGGCATGGTGGCATGTGCCTGTAGTCCCAGCTACTTGGGAGGCTGAGGCAGGAGAATTGCTTAAACCCAGGTGGTGGAGGTTGCAGTGAGCCAAGCTTGTGCCATTGCACTCCAGCCTGGCGCCTGTCAACAGAGCGAGACTCTGTCTCAAAAACAAAAAACAAAACCAAACAACAATAACAAAATTATTTGTCCAAATACACTTTTTTTTTTTTAATTTTTCTTTTTTGTTTTTGTTTATAGAGATGGGGTTTCTCCATGTTGATCAGACTAGTCTTGAACTCCCGACCTCAGGTGATCCACTGCCTTGGCCTCCCAAAGTGTGGGGATTACAGGCGTGAGCCACCATGCCTGGCCTGTCCAAATACACTTTCTACAAAAAGAAAAAAAAATTAGCAGAGCGTGGTGGTGCATACTTATAGTCCCAGCTGCTCAGGAGGCTGAGGTGGCAGGATGGCTTGAACCTGGGAAGTAGAGGCTGCAGTGAGCTGTGACTGCACCACGGCACTCCAGCCTGGGCGACAGAGTGCAACTCTGTCTCTAAAAAAATAAAAACAGGCTGGGCACGGTGGCTCACGCCTGTAATCCTAGCACTTTGAGAGGTCAAGGTGGGTGGATCACCTGAGGTCAGGAGTTCAAGACCAGCCTGGCCATCATGGTGAAACCCCATCTTGAGAAAAAAAAAAATAATTAAAAAAATAAATAAATAAAGAATTTCAAGATGACGACAGCAGCAGAGTACAGAACCAAGTCCAGGGCTCTTCTGAGCACAGGGCATGAGTCTTGTGGGAATGCATCAGCCGCATGCCTGTGCGGCTGGCCTTGTAGGTTACCTTTGAACAAGCAGTTTCAGAAACGACAGGCATCAGAAGCATGATGGGGACCAGACTAGATGGTAGGATACTAGATGACGTCATCTCTGAGGATGTACTCACCATGGACTCATTCCTGCCATGTCAACGCGGGCATTTCACAGACTCACATTTGTCTGAGGAATCAGATAATTTTCTATACTCAGGCAGCAGAAGCAACAAGCAACACTTTTGTCTGAGGGTTGCTTGTTAGTTAGGCCAGACGCTCTGCTGCTGGCTACTTGGGTGTCCATTTTGGAACTGCAGCTGAATGTGGGACAGAAAGCTGAGTAATCTTCCCTTTCCCTCCTTTCTCTCTCACACTGGACAGGGGCTTTAACTGAGGCACAGAAGCTGAGCCTGTGGATGGAGGGTGATTTCCTTCTAACACTAGGGCAGCTTCCAGGAAAAGAGTGGGACCAGGATGCCCAGCACAGCAGCCATGGGAGAAGCAGGAGCCCAGCTGGAGCTGCAGATGTGGTTAATGAAGGGAGGCTGAGTGCAAACTCAGTGAAGGAGGCAGATCTGAGGGGAGGGAGGAACTACACTTAGAACAGTGCACACTACAGGCTAGGGACTGCAGAGTTGGAACAGAAATTCTCTGCCATTTATTTATTTGTGTATTCATTTATTCATTCAGTGAGGATTTCCTGTGAGCCTTATATGCTAGTTGAAGGGGATATAGACAGGGCTTTTTTTTTTGGAGACAGAGTCTAGCTCTGTCACCCAGGCAGGAGTGCCGTGGCGCGATCTCGGCTCACTGCAACCTCTGCCTCTTGGGTTCAGGAGATTCTCCTGCCTCAGCCTCCCAAGTAGCTGGGATTACAGGCGCCTGCCACTGTGCCTGGCTAATTTTTGTGTTTTTATTACAGACAGTGTTTCACTGTGTTGGCCAGGCTGGTCTCGAACTCCTGACCTTGTAATCCGCCCATCTCAGCCTCCCAAAGTGCTGGGATTACAAGTGTGAGCCACCGTGCCCAGCTTAGACAAGGTTCTTAAGGTGCTGGGTCTGTAGCAGGGTTCTCAAAACAGCTGCACATTCAAATCACTTGGGGAGCTTTTACAAATTAGTTATGCTGGGGCTTCATCTGAAACAATTACATTCAAATCTCTGTGCATGGGGTTTAGGCACTGGTTTCTTTCAAGAGCTCCCCGGATATGTCTAATGTGCAGCCTGAGTTGAGAGTGGTTGGTCTGGAGGGAGACACAGACATGCTTTGATGTGATGCCCTCATTAATTGATGTGTGTACAAAGAGCTTCCCAAAGTGATGTGTACAGAGAGAGAATAAGTATTAACACGGGAGAACCTGCTGGCTGTGCTGTTGGTATCCATCCCTTCTCTCCTACTACCAGATGACACACATGGCTTTAGGAGTGGCAATGCACTGAGTCCTGGACGATTCAACCTGATTGAGCTTCTCAGCCCATCAGAAATCCTGTTGTCCACTTTTCCAATCTCCTTTGTAGCTGGGGGTGGCCCAATTCTGGTCAATGACATGTAAGCAGAAGTCTGCAAACAGTCTTTGACAGTCTGGGACAGTCTTTGATTTACTAGTAAGATAAGTCTGTGATCTCAGTTCACTACAACCTCCACCTCCAGGATTCAAGCGATCCTCCTGCCTCGGCCTCCTGAGTAGCTGGGATTACAGGCCCACACCACCACATCCCACTAATTTTTGTGTTTTCAGTAGAGATGGGTTTCACTATATTGGCCAGGCTGGTCTTGAACTCCTGACTTCAGATGATTCACCTGCCTCAGCTTCCCAAAGTGCTAAGATTATAGGTGTGAGCCACTGCACCCAGCTTTTTTTTTTTTTTTTTTTTTTTTTTGTGAGAGGGTCTCACATTGCCCAGACTGGAGTGCAATGGTACAAACACAGCTCACTGCAGCCTTGACCCCCACCAAGTTCAAGCAATCCTCCTGACTTAGCCTCCTATGTAGCTGGGACCACAGACATGTGCCATCTTAACCAGCTTTTTTTTTTAAGAGATGAGGGTCTCACTTTGTTGCCCAGGCTGGTCTTGAACTCTTAAGCCTCCTGCCTTGGCTCCCCAAAGTGCTGGGGATTACAGCCTGAGCCACTATGCCTGACCCCTACTTTGAACATGAAAGGCTCAACATGAAAGGACAACAAAGCATAAAGGGAAGATTGAGTATTACTGAGTTGTTGGCTGGAGGCCATTGAACTCCTCACCCAACACCCGCAACCGCCTCCTAGACTCAGCATATGAGAAAGAGAACCCCCTAATTTCAGAGCTTTTCAACTTGGCTGCACATTAGAATATAAGCAGTTTTGAAAACTCCTGATGCCTGGATACACCCACGGAGATTTTAATTGAGTTAATCTGGCATGTGTCTGGTGATGGGAATATATTTTTCTTTTTGAGACAGAGTCTCACTCTGTTGCCCAGGCTGGAGTGCAGTGGCACGATCCCGGCTCACTGCAGCCTCTGACTCCTGGGTTCGAAAAATTCTCCTGCCTCAGCCTCCCAAGTAGCTGGGATTACAGGCACATACCACCACGTCCAGTTAATTTTTGTATTTTTAGTAGTTTTTTGTTTTGTTTTGTTTTGTTTGTGTGTGTGTGTATGAGAGAGAGAGAGAGAGAGACACACACACACAGTTTTGCTCTTGTTGCCCAGGCTGGAGTGCAATGGTGTGATCTTGGCTCACCGAAAACTCCGCCTCCCAGGCTCAAGCCATTCTCCTGCCTCAGCCTCCCGAGTAGCTGGGATTATAGGCATGTGTCAGCACACCTGGCTAATTTTGTATTTTTTTTTTCTAAGTCGAGATGGGGTTTTTCTATGCTGGTCAGGCTGGTCTTGAACTCCAGACCTCAGGTGATCCGCCCACCTTGGCCTCCCAAAGTGCTAGAATTACAGGTGTGAGCCACTGCACCCCACCTAGAGAATTTTCTTCACGTTGGCCAGGCTGGTCTCAAACTCCTGACCTCAGGTAATCTACCTGTCTCGGCCTCCCAAAGTGCTGGGATCATATTTGTGAGCCACCGTGCTTGGCCAGGTGATGGGAATTTTCAGAAGCTCCTCAGGTGATTCTAATGGAAACCTGGGATAAGAATATTTATTTGGGTTTTCTGTTGCTTTCAGCTGAGAGCATCCTTACCTGGTACACCAACTTCTCTAGGATACCATCAAGCAAGTCTTCACCAAGGATTGACATCTGAGCTGGGTTTCAAGGCTGGCCTAATCAGGTGGAGAAACAGAGTGTGCAAGAGCGAGGGAGCATGAAATGGCTTGGCTTCCAGATCACTGGGTGGATGGAGGGGGTGGTGACAAAGGCCAGGGGTAAAGAAGTAAAAAGGGAGCGGATCCTTGTGGCCTGCATGCCATGGATGCACTGGGACTTGATTTTGTGGCTTATGGATTGAAAGGTTTTATTTGTTTTTTATTATTTTATTGATTTATTTATTGGGATGGAATCTCGCTCTCTACCCAGGCTGGAGTACAGTGGCGAAATCTCGGCTGACTGCAACGTGTGCCTCCCCAGGTCAGGCGATTCTCCTGCCTCAGCCTCCCGAGTAGCAGGGATTACAGGTGCCTGCCTCCACACCTGGCTAATTTTTGTGTTTTTAGTAGAGGCGGGGTTTTGCCATGTTGGCCAGGTTGGTCTCGAACTCCTGACCTTAGGTGATCTGCCTGCCTCGGCCTCCCAAAGTGCTGAGATTACAGGTGTGAGCCACTGCACTCAAAAATACTACTTGTTTTTTTTGAGACGGAGTCTCATTCTGTCACCCAGGCTGGAGTGCAGTGGCGCGATCTTGGTTCACTGCAACCTTTGCCTCCTGGGTTCAAGGGATTCTCCTACCTCAGCCTCCTGAGTAGCTGGGATTACAAGCACGAACCACCACGCCCGGCCAATATTTGTATTATTGTTATTTTTTTCTAAGTAGAGACAGGGTTTCACCATTTTGGCCAGGCTGGTATTGAACTGCTAATGCGAAGTGATCCTCCCACCTCGGCTTCACGAAGTGTTGAGATATAGGTATGAGCCACTGTGCCTGGCCACGTTTTCATTTGTATTTTTTTCGAGAAAATGTCCCACTGTCGCCCAGGCTGGAATGCAGGGTGGCATCACAGTTCACTGAAGCCTCAACCTCCCCAGCCTCAGATGATCCTTCTACCTCAGCCTCCCAAGGGGATAAAACCAGAGGTACATGCTACCACACCCAGCTAATTTTTTTTTTTTTTTTTTGTATTTTTGTGTAGAGATGGGATTTGGTCATGTTTCGCAGGCCAGTCTCAAACTCCTGGGTTCAAGCAATCTGCCCACCTCGTCTTCCCAAAGCGTTGGGGTTACAAGTGTGAGCCACCACATCTGGTCAGGTTGAAAGGTTTTAAAATTAGATTTGATATTTGGATCACTCTGTTGGTTGTGTGGGGGATGTATTGGTGGCAGGAAAACTGGTTATGGCAAAGGTCCAGGTGTGAGATCATAAAGACCTGAGGGACACATGGCATGGGACTTGAAAAGCCGATGCTCTGCCTTGGCCTGTGAATGGCCTGGGAAAATTCTTGGGCTAGGTCCAAGACCAGCAGACATTTGTGCCACAGGACACATCCGTTCCCCATCCCCTTGGCCCTTCCGTTCTGTGGACCCTCACAGTCTCTGAGATCCCTTCTAGCCTGATGTGTGTCTAGGATGGCAAGCAGGGAAGAGTCTGAGGCATAGCAGGGTCCTGGCTCCCAAGGTCAGGGCCCAGGAAAGTGAGACTTTCAGGCCCCCACCCGTGGCAGTCTGAGTCACAGCTCCTCCCTCTGAGGGTGGTAACTCTATATCCCAAAGATGTGACCATAGGGGAAGGAAGTTCAGCAGACCTCTATCCCGTTCCCTCCCTGATATTGGAGACCCCCATGTCCAGCCTGGGTCGGGGGATACCTGAAAGGAAAAGAGGAGGGCTAGCTTCTTTATCAGGTCAGCCAGGGACCCATCTAATGCCAGGCTACTGGGCAGCTTCGGGGGGAGGGAGACAAAGTCCTCTGCTATTCTTGTTCCCTGTGGAAAAGGGAAAGGGCTGTATACATGCACTTAATCTGCCATGCTTGGAGGTACTCTTTCATTTACTTAGCACATATCTGAGCACGTACTGCGTACCAGGGCCTCTTAGGCATTGGGGATTCAGAGTTGCTTTTTTTAAAATTTTTTTGAGACAGGTCTCATTCTGTCACCCAGGTTGGACTACAGTAGCATGATCACAGCTCACTTGCAGCCTCAACCTCCTGGGCTCGAGCCGTCTTCCCACCTCACCCTCCCAAGTAGCTGGGACTGCAGGCGTGCACCACCACGCCCCGCCAACTTTTGTATTTTTGTGGAGAGCCACCACGCCTGGCTAAGAAAAGTAAATGTCCCCCAGCCAATCAGGGAAGACTGGTGTGTGCACAAATAGAGCCATCTGATCACCTAGGGGTGGGCTTGGACTGAGGGATCTGCCAGGGTCAGAGGGGCCTGGAGGATGGAGCAGTGGACTTTGCTTGAACATTGGGAAAGGCTGCACCGAGAAGGGGACAAGTGAGCTAGGCCTTGAGGGATGTATAGGAGTCTGTCGGATGGAAAAGGCTAGGAGGCTGAGACAAGAACAAGGGAGGGCAGTTTGGCTGTGGTCTGCGATGTGCAGTTCTGTCAGAGGCGTGTGAACCAGAGCAACTCCATCTTAAATAGGAGCTGGGTAAAATCAGGCTGAACCCTACAGTGAAGGCATTCTAAGTCACAAGATGAGATAGGAGGTCAGTACAAAATATAGGTCATAAAGACCTTGCTGATAAAACAGTTTGCAGTTAAGGAGCTGTCCAAAACCCATCAAAACCAAAGTGGTGAAGAGAGTGACCTCTGGGTGTCCTGACTGCTATGCTCCCAGCAGTGCCATGACAGTTTACAAATGCCATGTCAACGTCAGGAAGTTACCCTATATGATCTAAAAGGGGAGGCATGAATAAGCCACCCCTTGTTTAGCGTCTCATCAAGAAATAACCATAAAAATGGACAACCAGCTGCTTGGGGTTGCTCCCACTCTTTTATTCCTTTACTTTCCTAAGAAACTTGCTTTTACTTCGCGCTGTGGACTCGCCCTGAACGCTTTCTTGTGCGAGATCCAGGAACCCTCTCTTGGGGTCTGGAAGGGGACCCCTTTGCGGTAACAGTTCTGTTACATAGTTCAGTTAACTTTTATTGAGAATTCACAGTTCAGGAAACGCAAATGTGAGACAGGGAGCAAGCCTAGCAGACTAGCTGGGGGCAGTTCTGTAACATACAAATAAAGCCCTTTGCCCAGTGTCTGGAACATAGCAAACAATAATGTTTGCTGTGATCGTCACTGAAGGAGGAGCTGGCCTTAGGCAGGAGAAGGTGATCTGGGGACAGGGGCCACCCAGAATTTCTGGATAGGTGAGGCTAGGAGTAGGAACTCAGTTGGTAGGGAGTTAGGGGGTCTCGTTTTGAAGCTACTGTTTTTATATCCATTGCCCTTTTGATCTGAAATATTTCCAGTTTTCTGACTGCTTTTATGCACGGGAGAGTGTCAATTGTCCATATCAAAGAATATGCAGTTTGAGGGGTTCCCAATGTACCACCTTGCACTTGGTTCCCCAGGGGGGTTCTTGTTCACAGGCACAGGCTGAAGGATGGGGGCCCAGTGGCCCTGACTGGTTCAGCCCTTTCTCTCCACAGCCCAAAATAGCCAACCACAGGCCTGGGCGGGGGAGGCAGAACAGGGTGCCCGCTGGCGATGCTGCCATCCTGCACCCACTCCTGGCTTCTGAGTGGCTCAGTAGTTCTCAGGAGGGTCACTCCCTGCTCCTTTGCCTGCTTAACCTTTGCCCTCCCCCTCCCCCTTCCCATCACATACCTGGGGTATCCCCCACCCAAACAAAAATAAAAACACAACTGTCAATGAAATAAGCAGCTCTTTCCTTCCTTGCAGGAAGCAGGTTGGGGGCGGGAGTAGTAGGAGTGGAGGGTGACATTCTTTCCTACAGGGGAAGGGGCTCTGTTTCTTGACACCACTCCTCCCGGCTTCTGAACCTTCTGAACGCATCCAGCAGCATCCGGGGGACGTGTTCCTTGTTTATCATCCTATCTCAGCCCACAAGAGGGTGTATAGTATATCTCTCACAGGCAGAGGCCCTATCACCACTCCCAAGTCACCAGATGGAAGCGCACTGAGCTGAGGAATGTGTCTACCTCAGCAGCCTAAGGAGCTCCCCAGAGGGCAGGGAGAGCCTCTGACCTAGGCTCATTTTGTTTTAAAACTTTTCACAAAACATTTAAAGGTAATATCACATTATGCAAAGTTTGAAACTAGAGAATGAAAAAGATCCCCCTAAATCCCCCATTCTGATTCAAGACTGTTTTTGTTGTTGTTTTTCTTTCTTTCTTTTTTTTTGAGATGTAGTTCCGCTCTTGTCGCCCAGGCTGGAGTGCAATGGCACGATCTCAGCTCACTGCAGCCTCTGTCTCCTGGGTTCAAGCAATTCTCCCACCTCAGCCTTCATAGTAGCTGGGATTATAGGGGTATGACACTGTGCCCGGCTAATTTTTGCATTTTTAGTAGCGATGGGGTTTCACCATGTTGGCCAGGCTGGTCTCGAACTCCTGACCTCAGATGATCCACCTGCTTCAGCCTCCCAAAGTGCTAGGATTACAGGCATGAGCCACCACGCCTTGCCTGTTGTTGTTTTAAGAGACAGGGCTTGCTTTATTGCCCAAGCTAGAGCGAACTAGTGAGATCACTGCAGCCTCAAACTCCCTGGGCTCAAATGATCCTCCCACCTTAGCCTCCTGAGTGGCTGGGACTATAGGAATGCACCACCATGCCTGGCTAATTTATTTATTTTTGTAGAGACAGCAGTGTGTGTGAGTGTGTGTGGGGAGTGTCTCGTTATGTTGCCCAGGCTGGTCTTGAACTCCTGGCCTCAAGCAACCCTCCCGCCTCAGCCTCCCAAAATGCCGAGATTACAGGCTTGAGCCACAGTTCCCAGCCCCAAGGTCTGTTTTTATTTTGTTGAATTTCCATAAACTAGTAAAGTACATGCTCAAATATCATTCAAATGTGGAATGAATTAATAAAAGGCAACACATACTGAGCACTTCATTATGTGCCAGGAATTGTTTCAAGTGTTTCATTTCACATTTACTGGCCCATTTAATATTCACAACATGAGGTGGGTATTATGATGATCATTACCATCTTCATTTACTTTCTTTTTTCTGAACACCAGCGTCACCTGCCATTTCATTTAGCAATGAGGTAACTGAAGCACAGAGAGGTTCAGTAACCTGCTTAAGGTTACATGGCTGGTAACTAGAGGAGCTGGGAGTTGACCTCTGGCAGTCTTGTGCCACAGGACGTTACCAGTGCTGCTCTATTTTTGCTTATCTTAATCATTAACAAACAAGTAGGATTAGACTTTTTATTACGAACAATTTCAAACATAAAGAAGTAAAGAAAATAGGCTGGGCATGGTGGCTTATGTCTGTAATCCCAGCACTTTGGGAGGCCAAGGTGAACAGATCACTTGAGGTGAGGAGTTCGAGACCAGCCTGGCCAACATGGTGAAACCCCGTCGCAACTAAAAATACAAAAATTAGCCCGCATGTGCCTATAATCCCAGCTACTCAGGAGGCTGAGGCAGGAGAATTGCTTGAACCTGTTAGGTGGAGGTTGCAGTGAGCTGAAATTGCGCCACTGCACTCCAGCCTGGGTGACTGAGCGAGACTCCGTCTCAAAAAAGGAAAAATAAAGTAGAGAAAATAATATAAGGAACTTAATGTCCTCATCACACAGCTTCAATAATTGTCACCTCATGGCTCATCTTATTATGTCTCTATTGTTCCCAGCCCAGATTATTTTGAAGCAAATGCAGTCACTGTATCATTTCATCCACAGATATTTTAGTATATATGTCTGAAAGGAGGCCCTTTTAAATTAAAAAAAAAACTTACCACAATTCCATTTCATGCTTAAACATTTAGAATTCCTTAATATCATTGAATACCTTGTCAGTATTCAAATTTGCCTGATAACTTAATAAAATCTTTTTTTTTTGAGACAGAGCCTCACTCTGTCGCCCAGGCTGGAGTGTAACAGTGCAATCTTGGCTCACTGTAACCTCTGCCTCCCGGGTTCAAGCTATTCTTCTGCCTCAGCCTCCTGAGTAGCTGGGATTACAGGTGCCTACTTCCATACCTGGCTAGTTTTTATAGTTTTAGTAAAGATGGAGTTTCACCACGTTGGCCAGGCTGGTCTTGAACTCCTGACCTCAGGTGATCTGCCCGTCTCGGCCTCTCAAAGTGCTGGGGTTACAGGCATGCACCACTACACCTGGCCTTTTTTTTTTTTCCTTTTTCTTTTTTTTTCTGAGATGGAGTCTCACTCTATTGCCCAGGCTGGAGTGCAGTGGCCTGATATCAGCCCACTGCAACCTCTGCCTCCCAGGTTCAGTGATTCTTCTGCCTCAGCTGCCTGAGTAGCTGGGACTACAGGTGCACGCAACGACACCCAGCTAATCGCTTTTGTATTTTTGGTAGAGACGGGGTTTCACCATGTTGGCCAGGCTGGTCTTGAACTCCTGACCTCATGATCTGCCTGTCTTGGCCTCCCAAAGTGCTGGAATTACAGGCGTGAGTCACCATACCTTGCCCCAATTTTGTTAAGGGAATTGGGTATTTGTCCTAATTTTCTTCATTCTAGATTTTGCTGACTATATCCCTGGGGAATGTGTCTTCTGATATTTTGTGTCGTTATCTTTTCATATAGCTAGCAAACATTTCCCCATACTGCCACAGGGTTTTCACAATCTGTCCTAAATGACTTCATACTATTCTATCCAGCAGAGATACTGTAATTTTTTTTGTGTGCATTTAGGTTGCTTTCAGTTTTTCACTAACTATAAATATTGCTGGAATGAACATCCTGACACATTGCAGCTTTTCCTGTACATGGGATAACTTCCTTAGAATATGCTACCCAAAGTGTAATTATGGTTCTGAGGCATGAAGAATTTTTCAGCTTCTTGGCACACAGTGACAATTGTTTGTCCAAGAGTTTGTGTGTCTCCCAGCACCAAATAAGAGAGCTGTCACTCACTCTGAATAGTGCTTAGGGCTGTTCACAGCTGAAGGATGTTTAGGGAAGACATGGTAATTATGAGGGCAAAGAGTTAGAGAAGGAGAAAAATGATGACAGGGACTCCAGCTAAATAAAGCAGAAAGTGATCTGTAATTTACCACAAACCTAGAGTGAGTCAGAACTCTGTTCATTCCTATTGTGAAAAAAAAAAATCCTTGATAAAAGGAGTTATTAATAGTGCATGACATGTCCAGTAATCTTTCTGTTAGACTGTGCATTAGTCAGAACCTTATTTGAGACATGTCTCAGTCTGGGTCACTGAACTTCATAGAGATATCAAGAAACTGATCAAGATCCAGAGGGCTCGATCAACCTGATGGAGGATGAAGAATCCCAGAGAAAAATAAAAAAAGTCAAGCAGGCTCACTTTGGAAAAAATAGACACACCTTGTTGCCTTAATGCTGGGGAGGTTTCTGTGAAAAGAACAACACTGGGTTTGCTTATGTCTGCAGAAAGATGACTATAAGGAAAGGCACCTCCACAAACCAAGAAAAACTTCCTTAGGACATAGGCAGAGCTATTTCTGACTCGGGAGATTATTTCGATCTTGGGATGAACTCTTTTGGGGCCATTGGCCCTGGAAATATTCAAGAAGCTGCCTGTTCTGCTCTGGGTGGTTCAAACATCCACCAGCCTGGTGACCACTAAGCGCCTCTGGGGGTCCCACTCCAGCTGTGTGATAACTGTTTCCTGGCAGCCCCCTGGGGAAGGAAGGGTAGGTGGAGTCCAAGTGAAGTGCTCCCCAGTTTTCCTGGGGTAGTCTCTTCCTTCCTGTTTCACTTCAGAGTGCCATGAACTGCCATTCAGAGTCGGGCTGGCATGCCATGATGACTTAATCTGATCTTGCTATTCTAGCCCTGCCCTGCATAGAGTGGACTTAGAGAGAAGCTGGGGAGGGAGTTGAAACTACCCAGACAAGGCCTCTTGGTGACATGGAGAATGGGAGTGACCCAGGAGACCTCAAAAGCCATTTAGTTCAACCTCCCACAGTAATATTAAATAGATTCCTACAATGCAACAAGTGCTTTACATACATTCTTTTGGGTTCCCACAACCTTGGAGGTGGGGTTTCACGGGTGTGAAATTGGAGATTAAGACAAGTAATTTGCCCAGGGTCACACTGCCAATAAAGGGGGGGCCTACCCTATGTCGACCAGGCAGTAGTCTGTGCCCTTGCCTTTAGAGGATGCGGATGTGAAAACTGCAGACCAGAGCCTCTCATTCAAAACCACACAAGCTAACCTGAGACAGAAACTCTGGCTCCTAACTACTTATCAAGGAATCTATGATACGTGGCCTCTTCTGACGTCAGGTGCGGGGCGGCCAAGGATGTGGTCCCGTCCGGGGCAGCCTGGGCCAAGCATGACTGAGAAGAAGGCAGGCTCCGTTCTGGGCCCTCCAGACCCTCACCTCAGCCAAGGTGAAAAGCGCGCTCCCAGGAGGGCCCGGCAGGGCAAAGGGCCGGGCCAGTCCGTTTCTGGAGGAGCCAATCTGGGGCCAGGGCGGAAGGCAGCCAAGTGCAGTGGAAAAACCCTGCACTTGGGGTCAGAATATCTGGGTTTCGAGCCAGTCTGGGACCCAGCAAAGACTTACAGCAAGTGACTTACAAGTCCGAGTCTCCTCATCTGCAAAACTGGGGCAAGGGTAAAATACACTTGAAAGGCACAGAAGCAAAAGTTGGAATTGTTACGCACCAAAGTTCTATCATGCGATCTGACCGTTGCCTCACGGTGCAGCTTCCAACAGTGCGGCCCCGGAGAGGCCGGGAAAGGAGCCCAGAAAAACTACAACTCCCAGGAGGCGTCGGCCGGGCCGGCGCGGAGTGGTGACGTCACGGGGGCCGGCGCGGAGGTCTGATTCGGCCGGAGCTGCCAGCGGGGAGGCTGCCGCCGCGGGTTGTTACAGCTGCTGGAGCAGCAGCGGCCCCCGCTCCCGGGAACCGTTCCCGGGCCCTCGATCTCCTTCCCCGCACGGTGAGCCCAGACGGAACCAGGGGGCCCCAGGGCTAGAGGAGGGGCGGGAGAGAAGGTGGGGGCTGCTAGGGAGGCGCCCTGGGCTGGAGAGACCCGGGCAGAGTGAGTGGGGGTAGAGGGAGTGCATCAGCCGAGGGAGTGCAGCGGCTGGGGAGGTGGCCAAGGAAGAAAGTACGAGCCGCAGTCAGGTGGTGGAACGTCGGGGAGGAGCGCTTCGGCTAGGGGTGGGAGGCGGGGAGAGGCTGGGCTTTGGGGATAAAGGTTTGGCTGCCTGCAGAGCTGGGTGAACCTGTGGAGGTGACGCTGGGGTCCCTCACTCGGCCGGGTTCCGAGTGCGAGGTCCCAGGCTGGGGAACAGAGCGGGACCCCTCCCCCCGGCCCCCCGCCAGAGGTCTCACTCAGAAAACCCTAACAGTGAGGACTCCTCCCCTTCGCTCCTCCTCTTCTCGGCTTAGTGCGGGTTCGCCTTAGCACAAGCTTTCCGCTCCCACCGCCCTCCTTTGGCTGGGCCAAAGTTGAGAGGTGATCGGCTGTGGTCCTGCAGCTTACGGGGTGGGCGGAATGGAAATGGCACTGTGATGTGCTGCCACGGACTCCCCGTTGGGGGGTCCCCATCCAGTCCTGGATGTTTTGTGCCCCTCATCCAGAAGACAGGAGGTTTGCTGTTGTTAAGGGCTGCTCTTTTCTGGGGGAGGGAATGAGAAGGGCTCACCTGGTGGCTGACCTGGGGCACGGTCAGCCTTGGCTTGAGTGTCTGGCATACTGGCTGGGCCCGGATATTTGCGTGTGGAGCCAAGGGGGTGGGGAGGGAAGGAGGGGAAAAGAGCTACCAGCAAAAAAAGTGGTTAACAGAACAGAGTTGCTGCAGGCTCTGGTTTGAGGCAGGTTATGAAACCACATCAGGGCCTGGCACCAGCAGCCACCTGCCAACTATGGCAGTAAAACTTTTCAGCTCAGCTGCTGTAGACCACTGCCAGCCTCTTCTGTTTCTCCTCATCTAGGGAAGGGGTCACTTGGTTGTTTTACTAATGGAAGTGATGTGTGCCCATAGACACAGGAAAGTCTCGAGTGTTTTTTGGCTGCTAGTCCTTTTCTTAGTTTATTGATCTCTTTTTTTCAGGGGTCTCTGGTGGTTTTCTGCTCTCAGGGCACCTAGTGTTTAGGCTTCAGGGAGAAGCGTCTGAGGGTGTCGGCTAGGACCTAAGTCTGGGCTTTTCCTAGGCTTGTCAAGTTTTGTTGGCTGCCCTGTGAAAGCCGGAAAGGGGTATGGGGTCTTGTGATCCGGGATTCCACAAGGCTTTTGGCACTCCGGAACAAATACTAGGAAGGGTTAGTGGGCTTTCTACACCAACAACCCGTAGGGGGGTGGGTAACAGAGAAGTGATGGGGTGGCAGTTTCCCAGGTCAGACTTGGGAAACTCTCCCTCTCCTTAATCAGAGGTAAGTCCTTCAGATCCCTCACTTCTCAGCTACATGTTGCCCTCCCCTCTAAGGTAGAGGCTTTTGTGTAGTAGCTGTCCCAGGGGCTGCTAGAGTAACTGAAGCCCCAAGGCCCTGGGAAGGTAAACAGTCAGGGCCAGCTCTGGCTTTTTAGATCCTTGGATTTCTGTGAGGCTCAATTACCCAGCCTAATGGGCTGTGCTGATGAGTCCCAGGAGTGTCACTTCACCCAGAGTGCACTCCAGGCCGGCGCAGGGGTGTTTGCTTGTTGAGATGGTGTGTTGTGGATCACGTTTTCCCTGAGGTCTCTAAGTGTGGAGCTGTCTGAGAAGAGGACACTTGCTCCTGTTATCCTGGAAGTAAAGAACTGACCCCTGAGGATTCAGGCTCCTTTGCAGGTTTGGCTAGGATCCTATCAGAGATAGATGGCATCTGGGACTGAGGGGTCACTGTAGGAGCGTGAGGGAGGTGGCTTTCTGGGTACTTCTATAATATCTCCATCTGGGAGTCTTCTGCATTCCCAGGAAAGATGTTGCTGTTACCATGGTGATGACCTTATGGTCTTTAGCAGGCAGGACCCTACCTCAGATAGGGAGGTGAGCCAGTACACAGGCACCATCTGTCCCCACCTTCTCCTGATCACAGGTCACTCAGGGATCTGGACACAGCCAAGCTCTGGACAAGGGGCAGATCATTCCCCTCCCTTCCTTCTCTGCTTCCCCCCGCCCCCCCCGCTCACTGTGGGTTGTGGCCACCTCCTGGTTCCTCCTGCCACAGGCCTCCTACTGTTGGCGCTGGGCAGGGGAAGGCATGGGCTAAGGTACAGCTGGAAACAGGTGCTGAGGGAGACTGAGGTGAGGATGGGTAGGACAGAGAGGAACGGGGACAGGAGGGAGGCCACAGGTTCGGGTCTGTGCCCTTGGGAAGCATATGTTGATGGGGGTTCCAGCTCTCCGTGGGAGCTCTAGGTGTTGGCCACGTTCTCTGTCCTCATCCCTCTTGTGGGGAAAAGGGCCCTGGTGGTTTGGCAGCAGAGTGGGTGGCATCACAAGGGCTGGCCTGAGTGGCTGCCAAATGGAAAAAACATCTGGATGGGTTGTTTTGTGTCACCCAGAAGGGGTGCCTTCCAGATCTGGGCAGAGGTTGTCCCTAGTCTGTTGTTTTCTCATTTCTTCTTCCCTCCCCTCTTCCTTTTTTTTTTTTTTTTTTTTAACCATATCACTCCTCCTAAGTTAGGGTTTGGGGAGATCCAGAACTGAAAAAATTGGAGGTGAGCGGAAGCAGTGACCTCAAAATAGTTCATCCACTGCTGCCTGTACCCACAGACCCCACTTCTTTTCCCTCCTGATGGGAAGGGCTTCAGAGGAGACATCCCAAATCAGGCCCTCGTGAGAGGAAGTCCAACAGGGGTCATGCTGAGTGAGAACTCTCTGCTGGGGCCTTTGTCAGCAGAGGGCCCTCATGGGAATGCTCTAAGGAGTGAGGCTGGGAGATGGGCCTTGACTTCTCTGCCCTGGGGCTGCATGCCTCTTGATGACCTGTCCTCCAAAGCCCTGCCAGGCCCCTGTCCCAATGGGATGATGCATGGGGCAGCCTGGGGTTTATCCCAGCCCAGTGGCAGGAAATGAGTAGAGCTAAGTCCACGTGGATTTTTTCTACCTTCCATGCTTGAGAGTCAAAAGAGTGGAACTGCCTGGAGTCCCCAGGGAAGGAAGGACCTGCCTTCCAGCGAATCGGAGGGTGAGAGGGGGCAGGGAAAGCCGTGTGACCTGTCTGACCTGTGCTGCTTGTTTACAGAACAGCGGAGAGGGGCGGCAGGATGAATGTGGGCACAGCGCACAGCGAGGTGAACCCCAACACACGGGTGATGAACAGCCGTGGCATCTGGCTCTCTTACGTGCTGGCCATCGGGCTCCTCCATGTCGTGCTGCTGAGCATCCCCTTCGTGAGTGTCCCTGTCGTCTGGACTCTCACCAACCTCATCCACAACATGGTGAGAGCCGGCCTGCTGCCTGCCTCTGCCCTGTGAGCTGCTCTTTGGCAGGGGTGAAGGATAGGAGGAGCCTGCTGGTCTTGGCCCGGATGTCAGGGTGATGTACTGACATCTGCTTCAGAGCCCAGGCCCAGCCCTTATCTCTCTGCCTTGCTCCCCGTTCTGCGTTCTTGCCCTGTGCACTATGATAGGAATCAAATCTGCAGATTTGTCCACATCGCCAGGGTGGGGTGGCTGTGGGCCTGGAAGACGCATCCCTGAGAGCTGAACAAAGGGCTCCAGAGAGTTCCCAGGACCCGGGAGTCCTGGTGCCTAGGCTGGTGCAGAAATGCCCTTTTCTCAAGTTTCCTTCGCTAGCCATCTTCCACTCTTGCCCTTCTCTGCTCCCTCACCGTTTGCTACCTTGCACCCTTTGGCTGGTAAGCAGGGGTTAGTCCCATCAGTTTGCCTCCTCCCAGCTGGCACAGCGAGGTTATGAGTGGCCTGGAGGGGCAGCATCTCTGTGCCTGTCTTGTGGCCAGCTCCCCCCATGCGTTCTCATGCCAAGCCTAGCCTGTCCCCCGGGGTCACCTTGTTCTTCTCCTGCCATTCTCCCAGCTGCTCCATCGTGACCTTCAGCCCATATCTCCCTACCCAGCACAGGGAGGCCCCAGATCACTGGGAGTTACTTCTGTCTGTGACTGGGTGTAGGAGCTGGGCTGGAGGGCCTTTTGCCTTTTGTAGCCTCCAACAAAGACGTCTTCCTCCAGGGCATGTATATCTTCCTGCACACGGTGAAGGGGACGCCATTCGAGACCCCGGACCAGGGCAAGGCGAGGTTGCTAACCCACTGGGAGCAGATGGACTATGGGGTCCAGTTCACGGCCTCTCGGAAGTTCTTGACCATCACACCCATCGTACTGTGAGTGCCAGTGCCTCAGGAAGACACCAGCAGGCAGGGCAAGGCCTGGAGGACCCTGGGGCCCAGCCATGCTTATTAGCCCTGCTCTGGCTGCTGGTGTTGGGATGAACAGAGGAAGTTGGAATATTCCTGGGTCTTACACTGGGCTCAGGCTTTGTGCTCCCTGGCCCTGTGTTTCCTCCGTTAGAACCTCTTTCCTGCTAGTGAGATAGGCCCACAGGCTTGGGGTGAAGTTGGGAAGGAGGTTGGCGCTGGTCCAGAAGGGGCATCTTTAGCCTGAGATCTCTTGCTTCTTACTCTGGCCTGGAGACCTCTTCTGTAACTCTTTGGCTGTCAGGATTCTGCCTTCCCGCACCCAGGAAGTGAGGGAGGAAGGGGTCCTCCCAGCAGTCTTTTTTTTTTTTTTGAGATGGAGTTTTGCTCTTGTTGCCCAGGCTGGAGTGCAGTCTTTTTTATCTCTCCCCACCCTTCCCCTCCCAGGTACTTCCTCACCAGCTTCTACACCAAGTACGATCAGATCCATTTCATCCTCAACACCGTGTCCCTGATGAGCGTGCTCATCCCCAAGCTGCCCCAGCTCCATGGAGTCCGGATTTTTGGAATCAATAAGTACTGAGGGTGCAGCCCCTTCCTCTGCCCAGGGTGACAGGGGAGGGGTAGGGGAAAAGGCCTGTGCTGCGACACTGAAGACAGAAGGAAGAAGCCTCTGGACACTGTCGAGGTGGGGGTTGAGCCTCTGGGCCTAGTTTCCCCCCTCGTTTCCCCCAGTAGCCAACTTGGAGTAGCTTGTAGTGGGGTTGGGGTGGGGCCCCCTTGGGCTCTGACCTTTTCTGAATTTTTTGATCTTTTCCTTTTGCTTTTTGAATAGAGACTCCATGGGGGTGGTCACGGAATCGGCTGGGCTCCTGGGCTGACATGGACCATGCATTGGGACAGGAGGCGGGGTGGGGTGGGGGAAACCCCTGCTCACTTGTTTCAAGCAGCCAAAGCACTTTAACCCCTGCGTAGGGAGCCGAGGGCGGTACGGCTTCTGGATTGTTTCACTGTAATTCTGAGGTCTTTTCGATGACACGCAGTGTGTGCTTGTGTGTATGAAAGCAAGCGTGGGACGGGGCCTTGCCCTTCTGGGCAGAGAGCTGTCTAATCCGAGTTTTGGGCTTTCGGCAGCTTCCTTGCAACCCACCCTGGGTCCTGGTTGGGAGTGGGGAGGGTCAGGTGGGGGGAAGATGGGGTGGAGTGTGGATGGCTTGGTCCCAGAGGTGAGGGGGCCAGGGCTGCTGCCATCCTGGCCTGTTAGAGGTTGGGGAGCTGCAGTGGGGATAGGGAGTGGAGAGTTAGAAGAACGGGGCCGTGGAGCAGCAGAGCACCGATGTAAGGGAGGGAGGGGACGGGACGGAAGCTAGACCCAGTCTTCTTTGGGATGTGGGCAGGGAGGGAAGCAGGCTTGGAGGGTTATTTTACCCACAGAGTGTGATGGTAATCGGGGAAGGAGGCTGCTGTGGGCTTAACTCCTGAGTGGGCTGTTGGGTGGACAGGTGGGGAAGAGGTCCATGAGTTATTGTTAGTACAGGTCCGACTTGGCCCTGACTTCTGTAGGGTACAGGGAAGCTGTGACAAACAATGGCTGCTGTGGTCCTCTGCAGGCCCTCACCCCTTCACCACCTCGTGTAGGCTGGCACTGTGCAGGGCCTCTCTTGTGGCAGGCACATGTGGTGCTGTGAGGCCACCCCACATGGGGTCAGTGGCAAGAGTCCTGTAGGACCTTTGGTCAAGCAGCACAGGGGAAGGAGCCAGGCGTGGCCTGTAGGTGCTGTCTCAGCCTGCAGAGAAGAAAGTGAGGCCGGGAGCCTGAGCCTGGGCTGGAGCCTTCTCCCTTCCCCTGGCTGACTAAGGGCAGTGTTAATTCTGAAAAGGCGTGGGTACCTGTATCCTCTTCCAGGGGCCCGGAGGAGCAGGAGAGGTCACTGGCCCTGTTTTCTGCCTCCTGGCCCTGCATCTCCCACCTCATGTATCATAGGGAACTTTCACCTTAAAATCTTTCTAAGCAACGTGTGAATAGGATTTTTACTCCCTTTGTACAGTATTCTGAGAAACGCAAATAAAAGGGCAGCGTGTTCCTGTTTCCCTGTGTCTGGCCTCTGCTTCCTGGAAGGCTGAGGGGAGGGGGCAGGGGTGTGGGCAGAGCTCCTGCTGAGGCGCTGGTGGGACATCAGTGCAGCTCTGATGGTGGCAGAAGGGGCTCCGGGACTGCTGGGCTTTGTGCTGCCTTCAGCAGGGAAATCCCCCAAGGGGGCTACGAGGGAACTGACAGTGGCAGCAGTGGTCAGACAGCAACATTCTCTGTGCTTTTGCCTGACTGTTCTCTGACAGGTCTTGTACCTTGGCTCCACAGGCTGGGGTGACTTGTGCCATGGCCAGGGAGGGGGCAATCCAGCAATGGTTTACACATGGAGCCAGGGTCCCAAGTGGTGCCCACACCTTCCTGATGAGTCCCCCAGCCCTTCTCCAGTTTCTCACTTCTCTCTCCTAGGCCTTTCCCCAGTCATGTCTCCCCTGGGAATGCTGCATTTCCTTCTGACCTTTCTGTGTAGGGAGTTTTCATGCTTCCTCCTCCCACCATAAGCCTGAGTGACAGGGGAAGAGGTAACCCCTGGGGACTTTCCAAGGCCAACACGGCTAAGAGAGAGAGGAGTCTTATAGCAAGGAATCCTTATCTCCCGAGGGCACTGACCGTCCAGCGTATTGTGGGCAGTATCAGCTGCTATTCTCAGGACAGGCACAAAGTCCCAGGTAGAAGGGAGGAGCTGCCCCATCTCTGGCCCTGGTCCAGCATCACAGCACCCTTGGAGTGAGTGTCAGGAAGAGTGTGGGATATGTGGCCAAGTCCAGCCACCACCCCTCTCTGAGTAGGGCCCACACAGTACTGGGAAGAGAAACGTGGCTACTCCTCTCACTCCTGTGAGTAGGGGTGCCCTGGATGCTTTCACCAGCCTGCAAGAGTACAGTCAGCGTGAGATACTGGGGAACATCTACAATGATCTGGGTTCAAATCCCAGCTCTGCCACTTATTAGCCATGTTGCTTTGTCAACTTTTCTGAGCTTGAGTTGCTTCCGCTGATGTGTAAGGATAATGCCTCTTAGGGCCGTTGTGAGCGTTAGCACAGTGCCTGGCACATAGTAAATAATGTATGGTAGCCATATTATTATTATTGTAATTGTTACCACCACCACTGTTGTCTGTCTGTTTATTTATTATTTATTTGTGTGTTTATTGTAGCCCAGGCTGGAGTGCAGCAGTGCGCTCTTGGCTCACAGCAACCTCTGCCTCCCAGGTTGAAGCGATTCTCCTGCCTCAGCCTCCTAACTAGCTGGGATTACAGGTGTGTGCCACCACATCTGGCTAATTTTTGTGTGTGTGTGTGTGTGTGTGTGTGTAGAGATGGGGTTTCGCCATGTTGGCCAGGCTGGTCTTGAACTTCTGGCCTCAAGTGATCTGCCCACCTTGGCCTCCCAAAGTGCTGGGATTATAGGCAGAGCCACTGTGCCTGGCCTCTGTCATCTCTTTAAATGTTCTTTCAGAACTGAGGCATGCAAAGGCTGGAAGACAGGCTGGGCTCACCCGGGTGGTTATCTCTGAGAGAGGACATGGGTGAGGCCAGAGGCCTCTCTCCCTGGAGAAGGAAGTAGGTGGAGAAGGTGGGTGGCATCCAGATAAGGAAGACCAGCATGTGTACATGGGAGCATGGGATGGGGAGGGAGGCTGAGTGTGCCTTACAGGCCCACCCTGTTCTTTCCAGGTGTTAGCTGCTGTTGTCCTAGGTCTTCACTGTGGACCACAGCATGGCATTTGGGCAGCTGGTTCTGCTGGCTTACTGTCCACATGTCCTGGGCATGGCCATAGCCATTGCCTGCTGCCACTTGATACCCACCCATATTCAATTTCTCTATTCCAAATACACTGGATCGCATGGCCCAGCGTGCCGTGGTGTGCACCATTGTCTGGCCCAAACTCACCTCAAATACATATCAGGATCTCCTGCCCACTCCTTGGGTCCAAGAAGAAGAAGGAGTTCTGGCCTTATCTGCCTCCAGATCAGTTATAAGGTGGCTTATCTAAAGGCTTGGGAAGTGGGGCGCCCAGCCCTACTCACCTGTCCTTGTACCTGGACAAGTTTCAATTTCATTATTTTAGCTTCCTGAGATTCAGAGGCCAGGAACTGTGCAGAGATCTGCAGAGGGGATCCTCGCAATTTCCATTCTGTTGAACAGCTGAGGTCGGAGAGGAGGTGGGTAGCACCTGAGATGGGCACCCTTTCTAGACACCTAAAATTCCCAGGTTGGTAGTGAATTGAGGGTCAACCACCATGATGGGGGCAGAGGCAAGAGAAGGGAACCGTGAGTGGATAAGTGCCTGGGTCAGGCAGAAGGGATGTAGGGTAACGTGGCCAGAGGCAGGATGAGGAAGTGAATCCCAGGAAGCTTTTGTTTCTTCTGAGGCTTACTTACCATCACCTCGTAAATGGTTGGTAGGGAGGCACCCATCCAACTGCCTTGCAGAATGCAGCAAGACAGAGAGCCCAAGAATCAGAGCCAAGGGAAAACGATCAGTTGAGGTTAGTAATGTGAAGTCTGGCAGCCATGCCCATTGTCCCTCCCTGGTTCCTCTGTTCATCAACATTGGGGTGGGTCTGGCTGGGGCATGGTGGGCCTGCCTTTTCATCCCTCAGCCCCTTGTTCCAAGGGGACAACTCTGCTGCGGGAGATGTAGAAAATGGGTCTCACTTTCCCTATTTGGGGTAATAGCTGCTACTTTTTTCCTCCAGGTGGGTTCCATGAGAGGCAGAGGAGAATCTGGAATCTGTGACGTTTACCCCTCTTTACTGAGTCATGACTGCCTCACCTTCTAGAAGTAGGGTAGGGAAATCATTCCAGGTCCTGGTCGTCCCGGAACCTTTGGCTCTTCCTTGACCTCAGGCTGCCAAACGTGGAAGGTTTAAATATTCGAACCAATTCCCTCCTCCCCAAAACTGAAATTGACTTCTGTTTCCCAGCTGGTCCAGGCACAATGGTCAGCACATTTGAGGAAATCACAAGAGTTGTAGTTCAGGAAATGGATGCTGGAGCGGGTATGATTGCCGTTAGAAGCCTCACTGATGCTGGTAGATTACACTGCTTCTGTCTGGTGAGGGAGAAGGAAAGTTTCTTTGGATGCCGGTACTACCTGACAGACCTCACCCTCGTGGACATTCTGGAGAAAGAGGAAGGGGATGAGCTGTTAGATGAACCGGATTCTGGGCTCCAAGGTCAGTATAAGGTGGATGAGAGGTGTCCAGCCAGGAGGCCCTGACCACTTGTACTCCATCTCCTTCTTAATTCCCCATTGTTATCAACCATATCAACCAACCAACAACAAAACTGTGGAATTTGTACACATCCACACACCTTAAGAAATGCACAGAAAAGCATGGTGGGAGGAGAGTGGGAGAGATGGAGATGTATTTACATTGGAAACCATTCCTGAATGCCCTTCCTTTACCATTTTTTTTCCCTTGTAAAATAATCTACTTTTAATTTAGCTGAGCTCTTTTCATGTATATATCATTTAAGTGGATAAGTAATGAAGGCAGTTTGCTGACTGGTTAAGAAAGAGTGCAGGCTTTAGGGCTGGAAGCACCTGGTTTCAAAGCCTGACTCTGCCTCTTATCAGCTAGGTGACCTTTGGAGAAGTTGTTTTATTGCTCTAAGTTTGTTTCCTCATGTGTCAACTGTAGAGGACTGTTGTAAGACTCGAATGAGAATAAATTACGTGAATCATTTGTTACAGTGCCTGCCTCAAAAGGAGCACTCAGTAAAAGTTGCTCCCATCATCTGGTGGTGGTGGTGGTGGTGATTCTCATTACCCTTTCATGTTCCCTGGATATCACGACTGAAAGGGAAGTTGCTGATGAGCAGAAATCCCTAAGGTATTGAGGGAATTTATGGAAGAGTCAATGATTCCATCCCCCTGCCTCTGATCTCAGTTATTCCTGGGGTACTTGGGTTTCAGAAGCCCCAGGGTAAGTGTTGAGGCTCTCACTTGGAGCCCACACTGGAATATGGTGAGGAGTTCATTATATTTTATAATGTGAAAAAATATTTCATAATATGAAAAATGGCAAGGAGTTCATAGCTTAGTCCCCTCTGATACAGTCCATTTTCTAGGGTCCAGCCCTGCAGGGTTCTGTGAGCCCCTCTCTGCTGGTGTGGAGACGAGAAACTGTGGAAATAAAAGACACAAGACACCAAGAAAGAAAAAAACAGAGTTTGTGCCTGGGGGGTCCACTGCCAACCAAAGCATGGAGTCCAGCAGTGGCCCCGAGTGCCTGGACACTCTGACTTTTACTGAGTACAAAGCAGGGGGCAGGCAAGGTAAGGTGAGGGAATGGTGGTCAGTGATAGGGTCAGGTAAATCACATGTCTTGGAGATAGGGGTCCCAGGACTTTCAAGTAGCTGAGATAAGGAGAAAACCTAATGCATCAGCACTTTTCACGTATTTGTCAGAAATATCAAGGACATTAAGATTATGTTACTATTATTAATTCTTATCTTCTAAGAAAAAGAGAAACCAGGTGCAGAGGTGGAGCGTGAGAGTGGACATGGAACGTGACTGCTGAAGCACAGCATCACATAGAGACAGTTAAACGCCCGGATGTTTGTGGGTGTCCCTGACAGCCGTCAGGCCTACCGCAAGAGCTTGGGGGAGCGGAGTTTTCTCCCAACTCCCCCGAGGAAGGAGACATCTGGCCATTTTGGACATCTCCTTCCCTAGCTGGCTAAACAGCAGGTACTTTCCCAGCACTGCTGCTGCCTCACAGCTGAGGCACCCTCCAGCACGCCTGTCACGCCCCCTCAGTTCCATGCTTCATAACCGATAATCATTAGTAAAATTAAAGTTATATTGAGTATGTATCTTTATAATTATAAGTAACTATAAGATTATATAGAATTATATAAAGGAATAAGTATGTGCTTCTATTTCTAATTTTTTTTTTTTTTTTTTTTAAAGACAGGGTTTCACCATGTTGGTCAGGCTGGTCTTGAACTCCCAACCTCAGGTGATCCACCCGCCTTGGCCCCCAAAG